GTAATTAACCGCGAACTTATTCTACCTTATTGGATTGATCAACTATAATTTGGGTTAAAATATAATTTTAAAGGAAAGTAAATTAGAAAGAAAACATTCCGCCCATTTTTCCCCGGCCAACATTTCGTTCCATTCGTTGAAAAGATATGAACTGGTATAAATTGCAAACGTCTTATGATTTCTGATTTCACTATTATGAAATGTTGCTTATAAATGTTTAAAAAGTTTTCTAACAAAAACTAAAAAACAATGTTTAAGATTTGATGTTTTCATTTAATTGTCTTTAATGAATTTTATAACCTAAACCCTTTTGTTTAAAAACAACATAAATTTTTAAAAATGTTGCAGAACCACTTTTAGCAACATTTATGTTGCGTCCAAGTAGTCACACTCGAGAGTCGAAAGAACTCTAAAAACTAACTTGTTCCACATTTATGGCATGAAATTCAGCTTTTTACCTTCAAAAGATTCTAACAACACACAATATTTATAACCCAAAATGGCAAAAAATCTTTAAGAAATCAGAGAGTGGTGCTGTCCAATATTTCTTTGAAACTCAACTTAGTCGTCATTATTGCCTGATGATTCCGTTTCACTGTTATTGAACGAATTCCTTCCCAAGTAGTGCAAGTTGCTTCAGGTGTAAGCTTAAATTCCTATATACATCGACGTTTCTCTACTTCAATTATTTTACCACCTATTTTGTGTTCTTGTTTATTTTTTCGCAATAAACCTTGTCTGATTAGTTTTTTTTTTTTTTTTAAACTTGAAAACATAAACAGACGGCAGCGTTGATCCGGATTAACTCGGGAATTAACTGCAGTTGATATCCGATTAACTCGGACTTAATCCGGATCAACGCTGCCGTCTGTTAAGCTTTTACTTAACTACATAGATGTAAAAGCATGCCTGAAAAATAAAAAACAGACATTTGAGCGGCCTTGTAAAACCATTTCCTATGGCTCTATGGATGCAACTATTCAGAATTAAAATTTTGGTTTGACACTTCTTGCCAGACATTTTTTGCAGTTAGTTCATTCTTTTCCATATATCAATTTTTCAAGCCCTGGCTAATTAGCCAATATCGTAACGGTAACTTTTTGCAAGCGGCCCAATCTGCATTTGGTATCCGCCATATTCACTCCCATTGCCGGCATTGTTTTCCTGTCCTCCTGGTAACATGTGCCTATGGTAAGCTCAAGACTCTCGGTCTAGGCGTTCCAAGACAATCCACCCTATGGGAAATATTTTATTAAAGTGTATTTAGAAAAAGTTGTCCCACCACCATCAGTGCGCAATGCTTTACTGTTGAGACAAAAGAATTAATGAATTTTTTTAGTTAATGAGACTTGGAATTACAGTCGGTCATACATACATACATAAGCTGTTCTTAGTCTTATTTATTTTAAAATTTAAAATTNTAGTTCATTCTTTTCCATATATGTCAATTTTTCAAGCCCTGGCTAATTAGCCAATATCGTAACGGTAACTTTTTGCAAGCGGTCCAATCGGCATTTGGTATCCGCCATATTCACTCCCATTGCCGGCATTGTTTTCCTGTCCTCCTGGTAACATGTGCCTATGGTAAGCTCAATACTCTGGGAAATATTTTATTAAAGTGTATTTAGAAAAAGTTGTCCCACCACCATCAGTGCGCAATGCTTTACTGTTGAGAAAAAAGAATTAATGAATTTTTTTAGTTAATGAGACTTGGAATTACAGTCGGTCATACATACATAAGCTGTTCTTAGTCTTATTTATTTTAAAATTTAAAATTATTATTTCACTAGCTTTTATTATTTCACCAAATATCAATTGATTTCTTATTTCTTGATAATTGTAGGTACTTACTCAAATTTCCCATTCACGGAAAAAATTTAATGTAGTACATTTCCATTAAAATTGAAGTGCAATTCTTTTTTTTTTTTTTACTTTAGCAAATTGTATAATGACTTGTTGACACTTGCACAAGTTGATACCATCAGCACCACTAACTGCCTGCGTTTGTGTATCCATTCATATCTATGTATGCACTTGTATGTACATATTCACTTTGTTTACAAACATTTAACGCAAAGCATCAACAATTGTATTGTGCGAACTCCCACAACTGTGCATACATATATTTGTCAAATAGTGCATATGTATGTACTATGTATGCGTGTAGGTGTATGCTTTTTCATATGCGTTTGCAATTCTGTATACAGAACGTATAGTAAGTACTCGCTCGCTATAGCTTTTGAATGCATATCTAATATATAAACAAAGCTCGAACAATCAGGCCGCTGATTAGTCAAACAGTGAATCGGCTGAGCGGTCAACAATTGCAGAGAGGAAATAAGATTTATTTGCTTGCGGTGGCGATAAAAAATATTTATTTATTAAATTATGCATACCCATTTTATTTTATTGTTTAATAGGGCGTATGAAAGGGAGTGAAAAGTTTTTTTTTTACTAATAACACTATGCGACAGCCAAAATCGGGATGGGATGAAACCAACGGGAAGTTATATCGGTCAAAAACAAGTTATACGTGTCCCGGCGTTTCGCTGGGTCACGTCTAGGAATCGAGATATACATATATATAACTATCATATAGGGGAAATTGTCACCTTTGGTGGTCTTTTTTTGACATAACTCGAGAACCACTAGTCCGATTTTGCTCAAACAAANGACCCCTACCATTTGTCTCACAGTGTAATTAGGGCAACCCAAAATATGCTCCTAAAAACAAATTTTAAGCGCCTAAAATGTGCCAATAAATTCTAAATATATGCTCCACAAAATGCTTTTAAAATCATTATAAGCCATAAGATATGCTTTAAATTTCATTTATGTAGTATGTGCATGCCCAAAAATACCTTTAACCTTAATTTGCAGCACCTAAAATGTTCTAAATTTCATAAAAGTGTATATACATAAATATATATGTTTAATAATTCATATTTATTCCATTTTTTTTTTAAACGTACTATGTATAAAAGTACATGGAATCTAGTCGAATACCGGCACCTCGCAATTCTACCACCAATGCTTCGTGCTGTCGCATTTAACATGGAGTTGTCCTAGGAGGTGAAATTGCCTCCCTCTACGTAACTATGCCCTGGTACTTATAGTAGTAACAAGTAGCCTGTAACCGAACCACGTTTTGTATCTCGCTGCGTAACCTGGTACTAGTAATAATAAAGATTTCCATAACAAAACACAGTTAATTGCGTTTGATGAAATCTTTGTTAATTGCTTGCCAATCGAAATTATAATGGCGCGTCATGGCGGGTCAGCGTCGGGAAAACTCATCTGTCAAGAGCGAAACATATAAATATGTAGTATTATCTTTCTCACACATAAAAAACTTAATAAAAACACGATGTGGGACGTGCACTTTGAAATTTATTTAATTTTCGACACAATTATTTCAGAAATTTTTATTATTGGTTCTAAACCTAACAACGCAGCACAAAGTATCCGAAAATATACATTTACTGCAAAATATGCTGAAATATGCATTTATTGCCAAATATGCTAGAATATGCTCTAAGAAATATATCTCAAACTTCATATTTTTTGGAAAAACGTTTAAGCATTTCATCAGCGTGTTCCTAAAATTACTAACAAAAAACATGCCTGAACATATTTTGGGTTGCCCTACTAATAATACTATTTTGGCGCTTACACTTTTGCGAAGTGTTTGGTCGAGCGCCTCCTTCAAATTGTGGCGTGCGTCCTGATGTTAGAACATAAATGGAGGGCCCTACAAGCCAGAATATCACTCGGAGGTGCCTGCGATGGGACATTCTTCAAATTCTTTAGCGCTAATATATACATAAATACATAAGTACATTGAAACTCATTAATGTGTAAGCTCAATTGACTATTGAAACTGAAAAAAAAAATATTTATGTATACATAATTCTAAAAGTCATGTTTTTTCGCTCCTACCGTCCACTATTATTAATTAGTAAGACGATTATCGAGGTGAATGCAAATTTGAATTTGAGTACGAATCGTTAAAAGATATCGAAAGCAAATTTTGTTGATATATATAAATATAAATTTATCGATAAATATAAATTTATCGATAAATATAAATTTATTGATAAATATAAATTTATCGATAATCATAAATTTATTGATCAATATAAATTTATCGATAATCATAAATTTATTGATAATCATAAATTTATCGATAATCATACATTTATCGATAATCATTAAGGTATTTTATTTAAAGATATATGTAGCGATTAAAATTAGGTATATTCACAGCTTTGCTTGCAAGAAGTAAGAGAGGCAAATCACATTTCTCAAATAAGTGTGAAGGGAAATGTGAAATTAATAGATATGTATTTTACTATGCCATTCGTGATACAAAAAAATGTGAAAATAAGAGTTACATGCATTTTTTTCTGCTCTTGGTGGACTATTTCTCGGATTTGCCCATAATTGTAGTATGTATGTATAAGTCTTTGTTTATTTTTCAATTAAGAACAATGTAAAACACATTATAATCACTTTAACCTTCACCCTCTACTTAAATTTTATAAATAGCATTTAATAATAGAAAATTGCACAAAATTACCACTCATTGCAGTCGCACGCACAATACTTAGCGCTGGAGGAATCTGAGGCGTAGGTGCCGCAGCATACATACATATGTTTGTACATACGAGTACGACTATTACCCGTTCAACAACCATTCAAATACTCGTATCAACAGAACAGCAACAGCAACAGCAACAACAACAATAAATAAACTTGACTATGAATTGACACAAAGTATGGAATCATTACACGTGACGAGTACTGCTGCTGGTGGTGGTAGTGGTAGTGGTACACAATTATCGTCATTACTCGCAACAACAATAACAACAGCTAATACAACAGCCGCAACATCGCCTGCCAAAGATCATTACAATTCATTGTTGTTAAGTCGAGCTGCAGGAAGTGGACAGTTGCGCATAAGCAGATCTCCATCGGATACACGCAGTTCCGAACAAAGNGTTAAGTCGAGCTGCAGGAAGCGGCCAGTTGCGCATAAGCAGATCTCCATCGGATACACGCAGTTCCGAACAAAGTACGTAAATTGCATGTCATTCATTATAAGTGCATACATATTTAGGTATGAGGAATTTATTGTACATTAGTTGTTGCATGTTACGATCATACATTTTCACATACAGCGATTATTAATATTCATTAAATAATTTATGTACTTATATGTATGTTAATTTATTACTAAACGTTGTATATAATTCTAATATGTTTCTGCTGTTTACTTTTATTTTTGTGCAATAGACACTAACGCATTACAAGCAAACAAAGAAAAATTTCGCCGTACACCCGAGTATTTTTGCAAGGCAATTCCGAAAAAAAATGTTCGACAGAAAAAAAAGCATTTTAAATTACCTTCGAACCGCAAGTTTAATTGATTTTTGGCGAACTTTAATTTACTGACATTACGGTGAAGTGGGTAAGTAACTGGTTCCTTGAGGTCAATGAACTTTGGAACAAAAAATTCGCCTGCTCGAGACAAAAACATCGATATAGCATACATTAAGCCGAGAAGATGGCGAAAAATTAAAAAAAAAACCCTACGTTCGGCCAAAAAAAAAAAAAAATCGAAATTGCATTGCAAAAATTTGTAACTCAGGGGTTTACGGCGTATTTTTTTTTTTCTGGTACGGCCTAATGTACATATATTTGAATGTATATAAATATTTATCATTTGCTTTCATGAGTGCTGCTTCAATTTGATTAAGTTTGAATTGTCGCTAATTTTAGCAGTTCATTATCGAATTTTTACTTTTTTTTTTTTTGTAAAAATTTTTTGCTGAGCACCTCTCCTTCAAAATCCAACCACCACAATATCCATTTATGTAGTACATACATATGTATCTGTTATCTGTGTAGTTTTCTTCAAGTCAATTGGACATTTCCGTTCTTATGCCGGTATGCAAAAAAGTGGGTGTGTCCACAGGCAACTGCACTAACTTACGAGGGGTGATCAAAAAGTTAAAGAGAAGAGATGTGGAATACAAATTATGGTACTTTTTTGCTCTGATAAAACCACTTTTAAGCCTGGATCGAACATAACAGTTATTGATGCAAACTGTCATTGAAAAATTCACTATGAAGGAAATGTTCTAAAACTAAGTGATGCATAACAATCGATTTCTTTTTTCACCGAGAATCTACTTTGAAAATAAATTTTTATTTGCAATTTTTATGGAAAATTTAAAATATATAAAAATTATTTTTGATTTTGATTTTACTAATCCAAAATAACAATTATTTTCGATTTTTTATCTAAATAATCTGCAAATAACAGTTATTTTTGATTTATATATTATATGTTCGTTACAATTCCTGGGCAAGAGTAAATGTAAATACATATTTATATGAAGTTTCTGCCATATTAATCGATGCTTTTTATGGCTTTTATCAATTCACTTGTGTATCTGGTGATGTAACAAACATTATTTATTCGGTTTGAGTGAAAATTTCACTGTGAAACATAGTTTTTAAGCAGGGCTGAAAACCACTTCAAAAGCGATGCGGTTGGGTTCAGTGGCTCCGATTAGTAAAAAAAAAACTTGTTTTTTTTCCCACAGTATAAATTTTGTTTCTCTTTTTCTCAGAGTTGCCTGAGGGAACTTTTTTTACAAGTTTTTTTTACAGATTTTACATTCCTCGTCCAATGCCTAATCTACATACATACATACATACGTATATACAGTATAAGAAGTATGAAAATTATTACTGCCTATAATTCATTTAACTAGTTAGTTACATTCTTAAAGTGGGTTTGGCTATACTTACACAAGGCTGTGGCTATGTTTGTATGTATCCAAATTTATGACCATATTGTTGCATACCGTTTATTAGGAGTGTGCTCTACATAAATGCACGATGGAATTCCAAGTAAATAGCTAGCAATTAAGATAAGTAGAAGTACTTAGAAAATGACTCGCCAAAGACTTTTTATATACTACAGTAAACTCAACAAGAATGGAATCAGAATAATTGCGGTAAGTAAGGCGAGTATTGAGTGCAACATGATTTCCATGAAACCATTTTTCGCAAGAGCAACACTTTTAGCTTCGTAAATAAGGTCAAGTTTCGTCATCCGGCAACCTTCCGCCAAGGTGATACTGCAAAACTTTCTATGCAAATAATTACCCTTAGCACTGATCTGTTACCTGCACCGGAACGCATCTGCAAATCGTTAAACTCTCATAAACTACTCACAAAACTTTCTCCCTTTGGCTGATGAAGATTAACGTTTAACAAAAGCGATCAGATACAGGCGAGAGATCATTGAGACACCAACGGTGATAATTGACATAGAACGTTTGGCAGTATCAGCGACAATATGGTGAGCAAAAACAAAGTTTTCTTGCCTCTGCAGTTCAGCTTTATTGACAATCAAGTTCTGACAGCAAATAGAGCAAGCTGAGGCAATGGATAAACTAACCCCCAAAATTACTGACTTTACGGTGAAAAGGGTAAGTACTACAACGGTTTACTTGAGGTCAATGAACTTGGGAACAAAAACGTCAATATACTGTACATTAAGATTCGACTATAAATGCCGNTAAAGATAGCCAAAATTACTGACTTTACGGTGAAAAGGGTAAGTACTAGAACGGTTTACTTGAGGTCAATGAACTTTGGAACAAAAACGTCAATATACTGTACATTAAGATTCGACTATAAATGCCGAGAATGTGACGAAAAATTAAACGCTTCAAAAAACCTCTACGTTCGGCCAAAAGCTTCACATTAATTTTATACTTATTTGTTTCATACGACCATCTTGAATTTCGAAGGAACTTGCGCTATCCCGCCTATGAAACGTAATCTATTGAATGCTGCGCTGCCATATGCGACAAAATTCGGATGAGGATTTGGCGCAGAGCATAGAAAAAAATTTTATTTTTTGGTATCAAAGGAAGTAGAAAATAGGTTACAAACCGTTGGCCGGTCCAAAAGTTTATTATTGACGTGTGTCAAGTTAGCACTACACTTTTCGAATTTGGAAAAGTTAACTACGGCATTAATTGTAGTGTTTTTGTTGTAAATTTGTTGTGGAAAGAAAAAATTTGTAGCTCTCG